GCAGGGGCAATGGGGGCCAGGGAAGACCCCCTGGCTCCTTCCTGACCTGTAATGGCTTTAGGAGAAGGGCTGTGACTCAGGGAAGGAGCACTGGCAGTTCCTGGCTTCCTCTCTATTTTTTAAACTCCCGAAATGTTCCAGCCTTTCTTCACTGGGGAGCTGCTCCTTATTCCTCTGGCTTGCCCTTTCCTGCACATTTTTAATCTCCACTGTTGATTTTCGCCCGCCAGTGTGTTTCCAGCCCAGATCTCCTGTTGCCACAGGCTCAGGCAGTGCCTTCCTCTTTCCCACGGCTGGGGGGGGGGCGTTCAGGAGCTGTATCCCAAAACTGCTGAAGGGCAACAGGTTGGCCAACGCTGCCTCCGTGAGAATCCCAATTAGTAGGGAATTAAGAAAACCTTGTGAAATATCGGCAGCCGGTCTCTTGGGAACAACTCACATCAACGCAGCGTTGGCTGCCAGCCTGAGCAGTGTGGAAAAGGGCTTGGACCTGTTGTAAACAAACATCTGCCCTTGTTCCCTTATGGGGTGTCCAAGAGACCATATAGAGTCCTTACGTAGGTTCCCTATCGGTAGGAGAAAATAACAGGCCAAGCAGAGAATATTGAGACTCAAAGCAGCTAGTAAGGCCTGATCTTTATTGATCTGTTGCAACAGGGTGCTCCCCTCACACGCAGGAAAGGAGGAGGACTTCAAACAATGGCGTGCAAGCCCTTATATAGACATTTTAAATTCCCTCCCCTGGAGCTCAAGCCCACCCCTCCATACATCATACCTACATCACAGAAAAGGCGGTCTACAGCAGAAATCTGAGTGCGTTGTTTATCTCATCTGACAGATTACCTGTTAATGCTCACTTGACTGGATACCCTGGGGAGCCTGGCCAGTCTTTTGTAATGATAAATACTTCGTTCCTGAGCCAGGTCACAGGCTCACCCTATTCATACACAGACATACCCTTAAGACAGGATTTGTGAAGGAAAAGACAATGGGGAGGCTTTTCCATTTCCCTTTGACCTTGCAGAGAAAACATTTGGTCAGTTTGAGAATCAAAAATGGTTTCAGGTCAGTCTTCCTGAGCTGATCTATGTACGTGCTTGGTTGGTACATTTATGAACATTTATTATATATATATATAGGACGAGATGGTTGGACAGTGTTCTCGAAGCTACAAACATGAGCCTGACCAAACTGTGGGGGGCAGTGGAAGATAGGAGTGCCTGGCGTGCTCTGGTCCATGGGGTCACGAAGAGTCGGACACGACTAAACGACTAAACAACAACAACATTATATATCTAAGACTTTAAAATTCTTATCACAGACCAATGCATGAAGCCCAATGAGGCTGGTGCATAGTTAAACTGCGGAACTCCCTCCCACAGGATTAGGCAAATTCATGGAGGAGAGGGCTGTTGATGGCTACTCTCTACGATGGCTCTACCCTGCTTCCACGGTTGGAGGCAGCAATGCTTTTGAATCCCAGTTGCTGGAAACCATGGGAAGGGGAGGGTGCTGCTCTTGCGCTCGAATCCTGCTCACGGGTTTTGCACGGGCATCTGGTTGGCCACTGTGAGAACAGGATGCTGGACAAGATTGGGCCCCCTTTGGCCTGATCCCTACACACCAATCTCTGAGCGGTGGAAGATTCCAGGGGTTCCCGGCACTCCCCCACGGTTTGTGTTTCCTTTTGGGAATGAGGGATAGGGGAGACGGTGGTGTTTCTAAGATTTATAGTATACGTATATACACAACCTGAGCCTACGATGGAGGGGTTCACAGAATTAACACCCCAAGAAGGCCTTGCTTCTCCCATGGCCACAGCCTTGGAAATCAGCAGAAATCAGGCATGGCTTTTTCTCTGCCTTTCCGGCCTCCAGCTTCTAGCTCACAGTTCAACTCTCAACTCTTCCCTTTTGTCTTTCTAACTAACCCAGAAAGGGAGCCCACCTGTTTGCCCTCTGGCACAGAGCTGCACCCTTTGTTTCCTTAAGGACTTAAGTACTTAGAAGGCCATTAGCAGCCTGGCCTGGCCACCCCAGCAACTGGATCCAGGAATGAGAAGGGGAAGTGTTTGGCATTCCTGTCTCGAGAGACAATGGAGTGCGCCTCCAGGGGTGAAGTCAGATTGCTGCACTAGCAGCCTGGAGGTGACCTCTAAGGGGTGCAGGCCTGGCCAGTGTGCCTGGGGGTCCTGGGCTGCCCAGACAACAAGATCCCCCTCTTGGCCTCGCTGATGGGGACCAAAGGAAAGCAGAGCAAGATGTTTGGAACCAGCTTGGCTGCGGAAATTGCCGGAAGGAGGCGTACAAGGCGCCATCCCACCATCTTGGGAGTCCAGATTTGTGTATGGTTTACTCTTTTCCCCTCTCCTAAAGATGTCCAACAAGGCAGCGGAGGTTTCTCCTTCTCCTAGTTGGGCTCCCTTCCCTCTACACAGGCATGGCCAAACTCGGCCCTCCAGATGTTTTGGGACTACAACTCCCATCATCCCTAGCTAACAGGACCAGTGGTCAGGGGTGATGGGAATTGTTGTCCCAAAACATCTGGAGGGGCAAGATTGGCCATGCCCACGTCTACAACAAGTGCAGAAACCTCCTTCTTGACTGTTGGACCCATGCTTGGTCTTGTCCGCTCCGTCCGCCGGAGTCTGTCTTCACAGACAGGGAAAGCCCCTAACTCACTGAGGCTTTGAGACCCATTGGGGACCCTCACTTGGTCTAGCCCTGCCATAGGCCAACTCGGCCCTCCAGATGTTTTGGGACTATAACTCCCATCACCCCTGACCACTGGTCCTGTTAGCTAGGGATGATGGGAGTTGTAGTCCCAAAACATCTGGAGAGCCGAGTTGGCCTATGCCTGGTCTAGCCAGCCAGTTGAAGCCATTCCTGGGATGGGCTGCTGTCTCATGCACAGAGCATCTGGCAGCCACAGGTGGGAGTGAAGGTTGGGGACCAAACCATCCCAGAAGGAGCATGACCCAGAGGTACGACCCCTCCCCTAACACCCCATTCAGCCTAATCCTCCCCTTCCCACAAATCAAAGGATTCTAGAATCCTAGAGCTGGAAGGGACCCCATGAGTCATCTAGTCCAACCCCCGTACAATGCAGGCATCTCAGCTAAAGCACCCGTGACAGATGGCCCCCCACCCACTCAGTGGTGACCCCGGGGGCCAGTCTCTGCCCTTCTCTCGGCCCCACTGACCTCACGGTGTCCTTATGGGAATTAAAGGAGGAGTAGGGAGAAGCAGATAAGCCACAGCGAGGGGAACCGTGAGAAATAAATGTAACAAACAGGCAGACAAAGACTTTATTTTGTCTGTCTGGAGAAGGAGCAAGGTCGTTGGCGAAACGCTGCTGGGAAGATGCTGTTTTCCCTCTGCTTCTTGCATCACCCTGAGTGAGGGGCCCAGTCCGTCTCCCGCTTGCCAAGGCCACCCTCCCCAGAGCCAAGGCTTCGGATCAGCAGCCCTGGCTCACGTGACGGTGCTGCACCCTGGCAGAGCCTGCAGATGGCAGGGAGGGGGGCGGTGTGCCGAATCTGCTCCCTTGTGTCAAGGACAAGGACAAAACACTTCGCCTAGTCGCACACAGAAAGGTTTCCGCTCGGATTTGAAGCCTTAAACAAAACACAGGCTTCGCTGGAGAGGAAGCGGCTGTAGCCCAAGGCCACCCAGCGAGCTTTGTGGCCAGCTGGGGATTCGAACCCTGGTCCCTGCCACGTCCTAGTCCAACACTCCAAACCAGGGGTAGGCAACCTAAGGCCCAAGGACCGGATGCGGCCAAATCACCTCCTCAATCCAGCCCACAGACGGTCTGGGAATCAGCGTGTTTTTACATGAGTAGAATGTGTCCTTATATTTAAAATGCATCTCTGGGTTATTTGTGGGGCAGAGGAATTCGTTCATTCCCCCCCCCCAAAAAAAATATAGTCCAGCCCCCACAAGGTCTGAGGGACAGTGGCCTGGCCCACGGCTGAAAAAGGTTGCTGACCCCTGCTCTAACCCTTACCCCACACTGCCTGGCTCTGACTTGCAGATCGCTTTATCCTACAAAGCCTCAATAGGGCACTGCAGCGGGTGGGTGGGATAGATGATTGGGGTGCCCCTTCCAAGGCTACAATCCTATAGCCTTGTGGGGCATTGAGGACACCCCCAGTTCCTGGGGGGGGGGGCGCTCCTGGGCCGTAACTCAGTGGTAGAGCCTTGCAAGCAGAAGGTGCAAACCTCAGCATCTCCTGGTAGGCTAGGGCAGTGGTTCTGACTTGATGCAAAGCCTTAATAGCTCAACCCTTTCTTCGGGATCTTGAGGACTAGAATATTTAGGGGACTGGGGCAGAGCTGACCGCCCAACCCTTGGCGAGCCGCTGCTGCTGCCGGTCCGTGTGGCACCACTGAGCTCTACTGGCACCGCGGCTGGGCGTCAGGCATCTCGGGCGCAGCGCAGCAGAGGAAAGCGGCGCGGGGAGGGCAGAGCTCTTGCCAGAAGCCGCCGCGGCTTCTCCCGCAGCTGCAGGAAGTGGCACCTCCCCGAGGCTGCGGTTGCAGTTGCTGCCGCCTGCCTGCCTGGGATGTCTTGCAAGCCAACCTCGCGCGGCGGGGCCGTTGCTGGGAGAAGCCGAGGAGGAGCGCGGAGCTGCTGCCGCAAAAGGTACGTGGTTGCAGCAAAAAGGCGAGCGGGCGAGGAAGGGAGGCAGCGCCGGCCCTCCCCTCCCCTGCGGGCCGGATCCTGCCTGCAGTGCCTCGTGCAAAGCGGAGGAGCAGCAGCAGCGGCGGCCGATGCGGGGGATCGGGGCGGCCGGAGAGGAGCAGCAGCAGCAGCCCGGGCACGGTGAGGCATCGCTAGGGGGGGGACGGAGGGGTCGCCCCCTCTTTCCTCTCTCACCCCTTTGCACCCCATTTCCCCCCTCCTCGCAGCTGCCGTGTGAACGGAGCGTGGGGGAGGCGATCCGGAGCGAGCCTATTTTTTTTTGGGGGGGTGTTGGATAGAAGCAGAGGACCCCCCCCCAGTTTTCCTCTTCCCAGGCTGCCTCCCCTCCTCCTCCTCCCTTTCTTCCTTTCGGGCCTGGGCTGCCTCCTCTCCGGGCGCACGTGGCCGGCCGGCGACGCTTCCTTCCCTTCCCCGCGGCCCGCGCCTCGCTGCAATCCGGCCTCCGCCCAGTCTCCAGCCTCGCGCGGAGGACGGCGGCAGCAGCAGCAGCAGCAGCAGCGGGCGCCTCTGCCACCGGCTCCCCGCGCCACCTTGGCCCTGGCAGGGGGCCCTTTTGCTCCGCCTTGGGCGCGCCGGAGAGGGGTCCCCAATTCCCCCGATTTTGCAAATCAATCAATCAGACCCCGGGGGGCGGATTTGTTTCTTGCACGGTGTGCATTTGGGCACCCCCTTTTTTTGGTGGTGCATCTGCAACTGGCAAAAGCAGGATCCGCTGTGCAAAGCCTTGGAGAAGGCGCGAGGCCGGCAGGAATCTTCCACAGCCCCCCTTGCAAAACCCCCCAAAAAGCCCCCAAGGCTGCAGGCCCCACGGAGGCCTGGCTGCAAATCCAGCCGCACAGGTAGAGCTGCCAGGTTGCATTCTGGGACTTGCAGTTTCTTCTCCCCCCTCCCCGGACTTAAGGTGAGGCTGTGATTTGGCTGACGTCATCACACTCTTATTTCCCCCCCCCCCTTGGGAAAAAGGAAGGAGGACAGGTTGTGTGGAAGCTGGAGGAGTCTTGTCTGGGCAGGTGTGTGTGTGCATAAATATCTAAAAATAAAATCATGATTTCTTTTAAGGAGGGAGCTTTGGCGCTCTCTGACTCTGAGCTGGTTCAGCAAAAGCCCTGCGGCTTTTGGCACAATTTCCCCTGTAGGCAGCGCCCTCCCTGCGAGGTCTGCCTTCCGCCCAGGGAAAAGGAGCGTTGACCAAGCCTTGGGTGCGGGGTGGGGTGGGGGCCAGGGGTCCCTTGAAGGTGCAGCTGCTGAGATTTAGGAAGCTGACGCCTTCTGCTGAGTCAGACCACGTGGGTCTCTCTGGCTGAGTGTTGCATGCTCTGACTGGCAGAAGCTCTCTGAGTCTTTTGGAATGTGTGTGTTCCTGGCACTATGTGGAAATGCGGTGTGTGTGATGAAACAAGCTTGTTTTCTCCTGATCCAGAGGCTAGGACCTAGCCAGACATCCTGCAACTGGCCTCGTTTGCGTTTGACATTATCCTGTTTACTTTGCCCCCCGAAATCCAGGTTTTGGGTGAGCTGGGAAAATGCGGGCTGGGGTGGGCCTGTGGGTGTCTCGACCCCTGACCACACCTGGAGAGGTTTTGTCAGCTGCCGGTCCCTTTTGGCTATTTTGGACTGGAGCTCTGCAGCAGCACCGATACACACTGAAGAAGTGCGCATTCACACGAAAGCTTAGACCCAGAACAAACTTAGTTGGCCTCTAAGGTGCTACTGGACAATTTATTTATTTATTTCGGCTGCGTTAGACCAACACGGCTACCTACCTGAATCTACCATTCTCATTGGAGGTTTTGAAAGCAGAAGTTGGCTGTGTGCCAGGGAGTCTTCACCTGCGATCCCTGCATTTCAGGGGGTTGAGCTAGATGTCCTTGGGGGGCCCCTTCCAGCCCCACCATTCTATGAAACTATTCTGCTGCGCTCATGTTTCACAACTGCCTTGATGCCTGCATTATTGTAGTTATCCTTTTCCTGGTGCCTTTTCTCCTACTTTTAAAACATCAATCAAAATCATCATGGCGAGGGGAGAGAGACTTTCTGTTCTTCACCAGGCAGTGGTTTTTCCACCTCTTTGCCCCCACCCTCTAGCCCTGAGAGCCTTTTCCAGGCCATGACTTGAGGACCAGCAGAAGCAGCTGCAAAGAGAGGAGCTCACAGATGTTTTTTTAAAAAAACACAATTTTGTGTGTCTTTGCTTCTCAATTTGTATTGTGTTATTTTATGCACTGAGACTTGCTGTTTTTATTGATTACAGCTTGGAAATTATTGGAATCGTTAAGAGTGAATTTCTATTTAAATATTATTTGCAGATGTTTAAGTTTATTGTGTACTATTCTACTCTTAATTGATTATTGAATATTATTTTATTTGACATAAGCTGCTTTTTTAAAAGTTATGTTTTTTATTACTTTTTGTATCAGGCCAGATTGTTATAAGGCATGTGATCATTGTTGTTTCTGCAGCTTGTGAACCGCCTTGCGTGTAATACAGTGGTCCCTCGGTTCTTGAACGGAATCCGTTCCGGAAGCCCATTCGGCCTCTGAAACGCTCGAAAACTGAGCTTCTTGCACTCAGTGGAAGCCGCGTCGCACGTTCGGGTTCCAAAAAATGTTTGAAAATGGAAGCATTTACTTTTGGATATTCAGCGTTTGAGAACAGAAATATACGACAACAGAGGCGCTTGGGAACCGAGGTGTCACTGTACATTGGTACCTCGGGTTAAGTACTTAATTCGTTCCGGAGGTCTGTTCTTAACCTGAAACTGTTCTTAACCTGAAGCACCACTTTAGCTAATGGGGCCTCCCGCTGCCGCCACGCGATTTCTGTTCTCATCCTGAAGCAAAGTTCTTAACCCAAGGTAATATTTCTGGGGTATCGGAGTCTGTAACCTGAAGCGTATGTAACTCGAGGTACCACTGTGCTAGAGAAAGGTGGCATGCAGATTAAAAGTGACATGAAATATGGGAAGAAATTAAAATGAAATAACTTCCTTGTGCTTTCCCTCTTTCTTCTCTCCGCCTCCAGGAAGCGAGGGCCCCATGGAGGGAGACAAGGAGCCACCTGCCCGGGGCCACCAGGCTTCCCCGCCGGAGGGTGACAACCCCTTCCCGTTCCCCGCCTGGGAGGAGGGCTCTGGCGACGAGAATGCCCTGGTCATCCACAGCCAGGTGGAGGAGGAGGAGCACAAATGCGCGGCGTGTGGCGAGAGCTTCCCACACCCGCTGAGCCTCTTGCGCCACCAGAAGCAGCAGCACGCGGGCGAGCGGGCCTTCGTGTGCCCTGAGTGCGGGCGCGGCTTCACCCTCAAGCACAACCTCATCATCCACCAGAGGATCCACACCGGAGAGAAGCCCTTTGGCTGCGGCGTTTGCGGCAAGCGCTTCAGCCTCAAGCAGAACCTCCTGACCCACCAGAGGGTGCACGGCGGTGGCGCAGAGGGGGCCCCCTCCTGCCCTGTCTGCGGGAAGACCTTCCGGGAACAGCGCCTGCTCCTCGCCCACCGCCAGAAAGGCGGCTGCGGGCCCCCTGCCCAGGAGAAGCCGGGGGCGCCCTCCCCGCCACGGATGCACACCCGGGGGAGGCCCCGCGCGCCAAGCGAGGAGGGCGACGTGCAGAGGCCATTGCGGGTCAAGCACCAGCAGAAGCCCCGCCAGAACGGGGCGGCCTTCCCCTGCCAGGAGTGCGGCGAGGCCTTCGGCCGCCGGAGCAGCCTGGCCGGCCACCGCAGGACCCACCACCAGGCCGAGAGGCCGCTGCCACCACAGGGCGAGGAGGGCCGGAGACGCCCCAAGGAGGCCCCCGCGAGCCCCGGCCGGAGGCTCCATGCTGGAGACGCCCCCTTCCAGTGCCTGACCTGCGGGAAGAACTTTGCACAGAAGGGCAACCTGGCCGCGCACCGGAAGAGCCATTTGGGGCCGGAGGCGCTCGGCTGAGGGCGAGGCTGCTGCTCTGATGTGCCGCGCCTGGGCGGGGCGGTTGGAAGGGGAAGGGGGCGGCCGCAGGGGGGTCCTGGAAGCCGAAGGGCCTGTTTGGGATGTGGGAGCACGGAGGGGCTATGGGGACTTGGGGATAATGCCTGGGAAGGGGAGGTCAGGGGCCTCTCAGCAGGGCAGCGTTTGCCCTGCCAGGGATATGGACCATAACCGCTCCAAGAACTTGGGATCCCATCAGCCGGGGGCAGTGAAGCATTGCTTGGGGACCCCTCTTCCCTTTCTGAAGCAAAAGCCCGTTTTCTACACATCCGCTGCATTTCAAGCTTGGGTGTTCCCTGAACCTTCATAGGTGGGATTTTTCTCACGCCCTGCCATTGTTTGGTTTCCATTTTGGGCAGCGACGTTGTTCCCCTCTTAAGTTCCCGTTCTGAGCCATTGCGCCACGCAGCATTACCTCCGCTCTGGGATTTCCCAGCGTTTATGTTCTGCTTCCCGTTTTACAAGTACGGATGCCCAGGTTTATTTCCCCCCAACCCCGTTTGGTGGTTAATTCCTGACCTCCCCTAAGATTCACGCAGCATGTCCAGCTACAGCCTTCCCTGTTCTTTTGGTCCCACAGCAGAGTGACAAAGAGTCGTCTGGTTTGGGGGGCTGGGTGGGTCGAAATTGGTGCCAAAGATAGTCGACACAAACTTGGGGGTTGCCGGGGGAACAGAACGGGGGTACACTGAGTTTTATTTGATTGCGGAGGATTTCGCCCCACTGTGCGTCTTCTTCCTGTGGATTTGAACCTGCAGCTCAGGGGAGAAGCTTCTGTTGACAGCTGTGTCTTGCTAAACGCATTGGAGGAAGGCGGAGCGATTGCACTATGTACCAGAGAACCCACACCTTTGCCAGAGAACCCATGGAAGAGGGCGGGTGTGTTTTCCGGTTGTTGCTGGAAAACGTCTTTGGAGGAGAGAGGAATTCTGAAGAGCTGTAGCAACGTCCTCTTCTGAGCTTCTGGTTTCCAGAGCCTGATTTCCAGATGCACGGAAGGAAAAAACCATGTGGGAGTTTAGACTCTTTTTGGATAGCTTAATGTGGGAAAAATAAGTGAATGTAAAAGTTGAATGTTTTGAAACCACTTGGGTGCCCTGAATTTTGGGGGTGGTTTTGAGCCGGGAGAGAAACTTCCATAAAACACTAGAGTGGCCTTCACTGAGGCTGTGTCCTCCGCATGTTTTGGGGCTCCCAGCCCCTCCTCGGCCCCAGCAGGCCCAGATGTGATCCCAGAAGCCCCAGCATCACACAGCTAGGGTTGCTGGGAGTCGAAAACATCTGGGTTGTGCGAGGGTGGAAAAAGCAAGCTCCGAAGATCTGATTGAGAAATGCGCCTGCTTCATGCTTTTGAGTTGTGGGAGGGGGGCGGTCTCTCAACCTTAAACCCTGTTTTGAGGGGGCTTCCCTGGCTGATCTCCCCTGACCAGGTTAGTATCCAGCAGCTGCAAAAGGGTCGTGCCACTGAGCTCTGTCCTTCCCCCCCCCCCTGGAATGGACTCTGTCTGCTACGGTGCGGATGTTTTCCTTCATTCAGTTTCTCTGTTACACAAGACTTAACTTGAGCGTTCAACATGTTGACGTACGTTTCAAGCGTTTTTAAGCACTCCTGTTTCAAAGTGTGCACGACGGGTGGAGATCTTTGTGGAAGTTGCACACCGCAGCAGCATTCGGAAAGAAAAGAAAACAAGTGTTATTTACCTCTGTGGAGATCTGCACATGGCATGTTACCGATCACTTAGAGTTTCAATCCAAAGTTTCAATCCAAAGCGCTGCACCACTTCTGCAACCTGGTGCCCTGCAAATGTGCTGGGCTCTGCCGACAGGTAACTGATGGGATTTGTACTCCCAACACACCTGGAGGGCACCAGATTGGCAGCGGCTGTGCCAAGCCATTGGGCACATTCTTGGTTTGGCTGAATGAGAAGCGTTGTATGAGGATGGGCAGGGCCTTCATGGTGTTGGGACCTCAGGGGTTGTGCCTGATGCAGAATGGATATGGTATTGCTCAGTGTCCTTTGCTGGGTGGCCAGAACAGGTTAAAAAAGGTTTCCTAACTGATGTGTGAGATGAGAACCTATTTCAGGGATGGGTCCTGGTAGACAGGTGAGCTTGTCCACATATCCACCAGCGAATATTTTGTGTCCAAATATAACTCACTAGGTCCTTGGTAAACCACTTTTTTTGTGTGCTGTTTTTCTGCAACTGCAAAAAAGGTGGTGGTTGTCAAATATCTTGAGATCCATTATGGGTGGCCAGGGGTCTCCATTCAGCACAGCCTTCAGCAACCTGCTGTCCGCTGAGGTTTTTTTGGAACTACAACTCCCATCAGCCCCCAGCCAGCACAGCATGATGGGAGTTGTAGTCCAAAACAAGCTCAGGAGTGTTACCAGATTGCTGAAGGTTTCCTTTGCTGGCTCAGAAGATGGACGGGGCAAGGAAGCAGCCTTCCCTCTGCAGAGAGACATTTGGGAACTTCACGTGACCGGCCTCCCAAGATGGTCCCATCACAAGAAACTCCTGGTGGTTATACCGCTTATTCACGTACAGCAATCTGTGGAGTGCCTCTTCTTTCTCTAAAAGGCAAACGGCAACATTGAAAAGTCGTTTTTGTTTCGTTTTTGTTGATGTGGCCTTTTGAGAACTGGCATGGCGATGTGGTTTTGCAAAAAAGAAGGATCATCTTAATGTGCTGTGAAAATAAGCAATTTCCAACCCAGGTCAATTTTAAAAGTGTTGTCCTGCCTGGAGAAGGCAGGGATGGAAGTTGCCTTCTGGTTTTTCTCCCCAAACCTAAAAATTACTGGGGGAAGACATTCCTGGGAGATAGTCACTCAGGTTGAAACTTTGAGAGAAATGTCGAATCCAGTGTGTGTGTGTGTGTGTGTGTGTGTGTAAGTAAGAGAGAGAGAGAGAGAGAGAGAGACCCTTCCCCGCTTTTCCCTGACCCCTCGGCATCCTCTGCATAAGAACTCCATGTTGAATCCTTTGTAGCTTTGCCTTCTGGGTCCCCTGGGAATATCCTTCCCCTCCTTCTGCGCCCTCTCCAGACACCCAGATGGTGACCACTTAGACGGGACGCGCGCACAGCATTAATGGTGGCTGGAGAGCAGAGATTCGCCCAGAGCAAGACCTCTCTGCCCCTCAGGGCAACGTGGATCAGCTCTCCTGGGGTGGTTCTGGCCTGTGGTGAGAGCCAAGAGCTGTCTCTCCCCAGAAGACGCTTGATGCAAAACTCTCGTGCTTGGATGATGCACCTTATTCCCCCAACTGCTTGATCCTTTTTGTTGAATAAAATTAAGTTTGCCTTTCCTTCGGCTCCTGGCTGTGGTGATTTCTCTTAAATGAGCAGGAGGATCCCTGACTCTTCACCGGTTGATGGTTCCCTGTCATCTTTCTCAACTCATCCATGCCATAATATTGGTAGCAGTAAAAATAACTATTATTATTATTAATTATATTACTTGTACCTCATCCATCTAACTGGGTATCCCCAGCCCCTCTGGGCGGCTCCCAACAGATTAGAAACAGAATAAAACATCAAACATTTAAAAATTCCCTAAACAGGGCTGCCTTCAGATGTCTTCTAAAAGTCATAGTTGTTTATTTCTTTGACATCTGATAGGAGGGCGTTCCACAGGGCAGGCGCCACCACCAAGAGGGCCCTCTGCCTGGTTCCCTGTAACCTCACTTCTCAAAATGAGGGAGCCACCAGAAGGCCCTCAGAGCTGGACCTCAGTGTCCGGGCAGAACGATGGGGGTGGAGACGCTCCTTCAGGTGTACTGGACTGAGGCCATTTATGGCTTGAAAGGTCAGCACCAACACTATGAATTGTGCCCAGAAACATACTGGGAGCCAATGTAGGTCTTTCAGGACTGGTGTTAAATGGTCACGGCTCCTCCCAGTCCTCAGTCTAGCAGTGTGAACTGAACAGTCATGGCTTCTTCCCCAAAGTACTGTATTTTTTGCTCTATAAGACTCACTTTTTCCCTCCTAAAAAGTAAGGGGAAATGTGTGTGCGTCTTATGGAGTGAATGCAGGCTGCGCTGCTATCCCAGAAGCCAGAACAGCAAGAGGGATGGCTGCTTTCGCTGCGCAGCGATCCCTCTTGCTCTTCTGGCTTCTGAGATTCAGAATATTTTTTTTCTTGTTTTCCTCCTCCAAAAACTAGGTGCGTCTTCTGGTCTGGTGCGTCTTATAGAGCGAAAAATACGGTATTCTGTGTTGTTTGTTATGGGTACTGAGATTTGCAAGACGGTCCTTTATATTGTCCTCCCAGAGTGGTTTTAACAAATTCCTCTTCCCAGGGGACTGGGAATTCCAGCCCAGGAAACCTGCGTGAGTTTGTCAAGCAGTATGCATGCGACAAGGCCCTATTCACACCATAAAGTGCTATGATACCACTTTAAACTGTCACGGCTTTCCCCAAACAATTCTGGGAGCTGTAGTTTGTTAAGGGTGCTGGGAGTTAGGAAGCGCTAGAGCCCCTCACAGAGCTATAGCTCTCAGGCTTTCCTGGGAAAGGTGATTTACTGTTAAACCTCTCTGGGAATTGTAGCTCTGCGAAGGGGTCTCTGGTCAACTCTGCACCCTACAACTCCCAGGGTTCTTTGGGGGAAGCCAGGATTGGGAACTGTAGCATGTTGAGGGTGCCAAGAATTGTTCAGAGGCCCACATTCCCCTCACGGAGGTACAATTTGCAGGAGGTCTTGACAGTCAGTCCCTGTGAAGGGAATGGGGGCAACACCCTGATCCTACCTCCCATTGGTATCCGCATCTTAAGCTCATATTTCTGCGGATCAAAACAGTTTTGTGGGTGTAAGGGACACGGTCATTGCCAGAATATCTCCTGCATGGTCCCCTTAGTGGTGGCACTTGGGAGACCCTGAGAAAGAAAACTGCCTGGGTGTCTCAGCGAATGCGGGAGGAGGATGTGTCAAATGTTGCCAGAGGAAGAAAAACACGTAGCAGAGTCCCCCAAAATATAGACCAGAGGCAATATTTCACCCAGAAGAGCTTTACTGTTGCTAAAGGCATAATGGTCACAAATCCAATATATTCAGGATTGGCAGAGTCCATAAAAATCCAGTTGCAGCAGACTTAAACTAAGAACTTATAATAAACATAAACTCTTAACACTATATACAGAACAGAACACACCACATCAGAACAAAGTGATAGAAAGAGAAAGTCAGACGTGAAGCCCGGGCTCTTCCTGGCCTGACTATTGCAGTCAGCGTGACCTTGCAGAAGAGAGAACAGAAGCAGAGGAAACCAGCTGCTTCCCAGAAGGTTTAACCAAAACATCAACTCTCTGGCAGGCTCTTCACACACAGAGAAAATATCTGCATCGCTTTTTAAGTTTTTACTCCGCAGATTGGCAGGATAGTGGTAACAGAGAGAAGGTAAATAAAGGGAAGATAAGGCAAGCAGGATGGACAGAGGGGCCTATCCTGTTAAGGTGCAAGTCCATCATGGGATATGGCTGCAAGTCCAGCATTCCATTCTCACAATGGGCAACCAGTCGCCTTAAGCCAGTGGTTTTCAGCCAGTGTGTGGTGGCACCTTGGGGTGCCTTGAAGGATGGCCAGGGGTGCCGCTGGCAACACTGACCTCTGTCCCTCTTTCCTTCCTCTTCTATTGCCCTCTTGCTTCTCTGCCTCCCAAAGGCTGTTGGTTGCAGCAGCCCTGGCGACAAGTTCTCCAGGTGAATGGGGCCTCTGGGGCTGGCCAGGCGGTGCTGGGTGCCAGGAGTTGAGGCGGCTTCGGAGTAAGCAAGCAAGCGGGCGAGGGAGCCCAGCCAGCCAGCCCTTGCTGTTGGGAATGGACAGACAAGTCCCAGGCCCTGTGAGGCAGGGTGAGGAGGGACCTCTCTATGGGGCAGGAGGGCAGCTCAGAGACCAGGGGCGGCAGCAGTGGCTGCCCAGAGGACTCCCAAGGAGAGGGGAGAGGAGGCTGAGGGCACACTCCGCAAGGGAGGGTGTTTGAAAAAGGGTGAGGGGCTGCCGGCTCTGCAGGCAAGGGGTAGCAAAACTGGGCTCCTGAGCCCCACAGGGGGGCCACAGAAAGAAGGTTGGTCAAGGGAGCCGTGGACTCAAAAAGGTTGAAACCTTCTGGCCTGTAGGAAACCAGCAAGCAGGAATGATTTCTATCCTGTGGCTTCCAGCAGCTAGGATTCAGATTATAGGTAGGTAGCCCTGTTGGTCTGCCATAGTTGAAACAAAATAAAAAAAAATCCTTCCAGTAGCACCTTAGAGAGCAACTAAGTTTGTTATTGGTATGAGCTTTTGTGTGCATGCACACTTCTTCAGGATTCAGTCATTGCTGCCCCCAGTTATTGAGGCAAAGTCCATGCTGTTTGTGGGCTTCATTCAGGCGCATCTGGTCAATCGTGGGGAGAGTCTGCTGGGCTGCTCCCTTGGGCCTGATCCTGCAGAGCTCTTCTTAAGGTTCTTAGCAGGGGAGGCATAAAGAGGAGAAGGACCTCCTTGGATGACCTTGGATAACCTTATGGATGGCCTTTGACCCCCACTTTGAAAAGGGTTCAGATTTGGATAGGTACTCAGTGATGCTCTTTCCAAGTGAGCTGCGCAAAGTGAAAACCCTGGCCGCTGTGTTCTGCATTTATTGGCGCATCTGAAATGTCACCAGTCACCAGTCCGGCAGCCGCATTCTGGATTCGTTGTCGTTTCTGAGTCCCCTTCAAAGGTAGCTCCACACAGAGCGCATTGCAGTAGTCCAAGCGGGAGAAAACCAGAGTATGTTCTTCATGCATTTGCCTCAGCAACTTTGTCCAACTTTGTCATCTTAGGATCGCCTTGATTCTTCTTTCTCTCCCCCCCCCCCATAATAATATTTATTATTTTCCATACATAGACATAACAATAGAAAAGGTTTACAATAATAAAGGAAAAAGAATGAAACAGAAAAAAGAAAAAAGAATATAGAACATAAAATAGATAGATAGATAGATAGATGATAGATAGATAGATAGATAGATGATAGATAAATTTATTGTCATTGTCCGTATATACACAGTATACACAACAACGAAAATCAAACACCCACCCAAAGACCGGGTTCACATATACATTTGCACGTATCTCCGACACTCTCATCCTATTCAGACATAATCTATAAAACATAACATAATCCAGAATATAGCATGACCTATTAAAGGCATAACATAACCTAAAACCTATCTCATTCCTTCCTACTCCCTGCTTGCTAAACCTTGCAACTGGCCCTGAGATCATTATTTAGTGCAATCAGAGCTCTTGGATAGAAACTATTCAGAAGGCGTGTGGTTCGTGTTTTCATTGTCCTATATCTTCTGCCCGAAGGCAATAGTTCAAAGAAGTTGTGAGCAGGGTGGGTGGGATCTCTCAGAATATTATGTGACTTCTTCAAGATGCGAGACGTGAAGATCTCATCCAGGGTTGGTAGTCGGAGCCCAATAACATTCTGGGCAATTTTAATTGTTCTCTGTAAAGCTTTTTTATCCGTTTCAGAGCTGCTCCCATACCACGATAATATACTATAGGTTAAGACACTCTCGATGGTACTGTGATAATAGGACAGAAGTAGGTGCTGAGATAGATTCAGTCCCCTGAGCATTCTCAGGAAATACAACCTCCCCTGCACCTTCCTCACAACCATATTAATATTTGCAGTCCATGAGAGGTCCTCAGAGATATAAATGCCCAGGTATTTAAAACTACCAACCCTCTCCACCTCCTCGCCATTTATGTGCAATGGTAAAAATACACTTTTCTTTCTCCTAAAGTCAATTATGAGTTCTTTGGTTTTTTTGGTGTTAAGCATAAGATTATTTTCTTTACACCATTGAATTAACCCCTGTAAATACAACAAATCATCACTACACTAACAATTAATTAATTAGTTAATTAGATCCATCTTCATAAACATATTATTTGACTTCCTCAAATCTCTTCCATCTGAATTTCTTAGTAATTATATATAGCAGTTTCCAACATCATTATTTCATAAAACTATATCACAGTCATAATCATATTTCCTAACTTTTCTTATCATACATTTTCTTATTTATATATTTAATCCTAATTTAATCCTAGGCCTAATTGATTCTTTCAAGTGATTACAAATCTTTAATATTACAATATTTATTCAAATAGTCTTTAAATTTATACCACTCTTCTTGGTGTTCCTCTTCTTTCTGGTCACGGATTCTCCCGGTGAGGTCAGCCAGCTCCATAAAGTCCATCAACTTCATCTGCTATTCTTCTACCGTTGGTAGCGCTTGTGTTTTCCATTTTTTGGCTAATAAAATCCATGCAGCAGTTGTGGCATACAAAAATACTTTAAGATCTTTTTTGGGCAATTCAGAACCTATTATTCCAAGGAGAAAGACCTCTGGTTTCTTCATAAAAGTATATTTCATCATTTTTTTTAATTCATTGTATTCCCCCCCCCCCCCCGAAGTCTTTTACCTTGGAACAAGTCCACCACATATGATAGAAAGTACCTTCCTTTTCTTTACATTTCCAACATAAATTATCACAATCGTGGTAGATCTTCGCCAATTTAACAGGGGTTAAGTACCATCTATACATCATTTTTCATAGCATTCTCCTTTAACATTGTACAAGCAGTAAACTTAACCCCTTTCTTCCAAAGCCTCTACCAGTCCTCCATCATTATATTATGTCCCACATCTTGTGCCCAATCAATCATAAAAGATTTTACTTGCTCATCTTTTGTATGCCACTCCAATAACAAACTATACATCTTAGACATGTTCTTAACATTGGTGTCTAACAACTCCGTTTCCAATTTGGTTTTTTCAGTTGCAAAACCTTTTTTCTTGTCAATCTTAAATAGTTCATTAATTTGATAATATTAAAGCCAATTTACTTTATATTTAATTTGTTTGAATGATTTTAACTTAAATCCCTCGTCAGCTTCTACCAGTAAATCTGAATATCTCAACCACTTATTTTCCATGTTTAGCTTTTTTTGTGCCTGCGCTTCCATTGGTGAGATCCATTTGGGTGTTTTTCTTACCAAAAGATCCTGATATCTAATCCAGACATTGTTAAGTGCCTTCCTAATTATATGATTCTTAAAGCCACTATGGGCCTTTATTTTATCATACCAAAGATATGCATGCCAACTATTGTTCAATCCTTCTAGATCCAGAATATCTTCATTTTCTAAATTAATCCAGTCTTTAATCCAGCAGAAGGCCGCAGCCTCAAAATATATCTTTAGATCAGGCAGGGAAAAAACCCCTCTTTCTTTTATATCCGTAAGTAATTTATACTTGATTCTCGCTTCCCCCCCCCCTGCCAGATAAATTTGGACAGGGCCTTCTGCCAGTCTTTGAAGCATTTAACATTATCAATAATAGGTAGAGTTTGAAACAAAAACAACATTTTCGGCAATACATTCATCTTAGCCACCGATATTTGACCCATGAGTGAAAATTTTAAATTTGTCCAAATCTCTAAATCTCTTTTTATTTCATTCCATACTTTCTCATAATTATCTTTATACAAATTCAAATTCCTCGCTGTTAAGTTCATACCCAAATATTTAACCTTCTTCGTAAATGTTAGGCCTGTTTTTTCTATAAGGGTTTTTCTTTCATCTTTATCTAATTTTTTATCCAATACTTTGGTTTTGCTCTTATTTAATTTAAAACCAGCCAGCTGCCCGTACTCCTGAATCATCTCCAGTGCTTTCACTGCACTGGTCTCTGGATCCTGTAAAGTTAGAACCAAATCCCTTTCCTTCCCAATTTATAGTTCCAATTTACCGGTAAGTCACTTTACTCACGAATTTCAGAAGAATTAAGTCCAATTTTTCTTTCGAGGAATTGGCCACTCACGATCGCTGGACTCAGAGCTTCACGCTTTGAAGGAAGCAAATTGATTCCCCAGTGCCACCATCTCCAAGCCCGCTCACACTCGGCGCTCTTTTTAGAGCTTACCGGGGAGTCGTTCCCGGCACCCGCAGGAACTCCAGGTCCTCAGAACGCTCAATCTGAGGGTTTTTCGGGGTGCCGCTGCGCTCTAGCGGCTCTCCCCTGTCTTCAAAAGGCCAGTGCCCTTTCCACGAAGGAACTTTCCGCCATAATGGGGCGAGCCAACCAGAAGTCCTGTGTTGCTTCTTCTCTGCCATTTCAATCATGGAGAGCAATTCCTCAGCTTGGGCTGCAAGCTGGTCTCCTGTTTCATTGTTGTTGAAACTGCAAAACCGTCCATCACACTGATCCCTCAGTTCCTGAAAGTTTTTGTTGTCACTGGAAGATATGTAATCTTCCAATCTTTCATTCTGCAACCTTTCTTTGTGGCTGAAGACAACCACCATGCGCTCCTGGTCGTCGCTACTGTTGAATGTCTCCCTCACCCGCTGTACCACTTGGTGGTCTTCCTCTGTGAATCGGCCCACTGGGACAACCAGAACCAGAGCATGCCGGTGGGGCTGGGAGAGACGTCGGCAGTGCTCAATCTCAGTAGAATTTCGGGCTCCATCAGAGTCAAAAATTGCAGGCGTGTCAATGACAACTACCTGCTTCCCCTTCCACTCTCTTATTCCTAACCAGCAAGACTTTGTAACTGGGGTCATTTCAAGTCTGGAGTCAAACCTCTTTTTCCCAAGGATGGTGTTTCCAGTCGCACTTTTGCCAACCCCGGACTTTCCGACAATGACGATGCAAAGCTCCTTTTGCTCTGCTGAAACGGGATCAGCTGCATCTGTTAATGTTGCTGGAAAGAGAAGAACAGAGCTGAAGAATCCTAAAGCTTCTCCTGGGGATCAACACTTTGTAATGATTAGAGCCCTTGAAGGCGCCACTTTTGCAATCTGAATTTCCTGAACTGCCCAAGCAGTTAACTATAGAATGGGATGCAGAAAGCTCAACCTATCTCTTTATTACAGCACGATACAGTTGCTAGTAATTTTAATGTTAAAGTTCTCTCTTTTGTTCTCTTTGGTACTATTTTATATATTTGGGCAAAGATTGTGTTTGACTACTGGTCATGGACAGTAATAAAGAAACTGACTGACTGACTGAATACAGGAATCGGATTTTGAACCGTGCAATTAATTCTTGCTGTTTTGAATTTCATTATTCGTTATTCTCTTCCTTAGTAGGTGGTGCAAATCACTATTCTGAATTATGTTTTTAGTGGGTTGGGAAAGGCGGCACAGGGAATGAGTTTACAGAACCAAGAGAGCAGTGGCCCCAAAAGCCTCAGAACCACTGGTTTTGGGTTTAAAGCCTAAACCCAGGAATTTAAACTGTGCCTGGAAACAAACCTGAAGCAGGTGTCAGTTGCTCTGGCCAGCCTCTGCCTTTAATGTCTAATGTTTTACAGTTGTTTTATGTGCTATAAGCCGCCGAGAGTGGCTGGTGAAACCCTGTCAGATGGGCGGGGTATAAATAACGAAATACTACTACTAAAACTACTAATTTCAAACAGTGCTCAATCTTATTCCTTGCAGTTGCCTCCAGAGCTGCTAGATGTCACTCTGAGACAGAACATGTTTATCACAGACTCTTCCCTTCCACCCCCTTGTAGTCCTGTTTCCAAGGGTTCAAAAGTATTTTGCACATTGAGTGTGCGCTTACATATTGCCAAAAAGGAGCGAAACAAGGAAGTGGGCTGGCTTAAGAGGTAGATTTGGAAAGCATCTATTGTATGGGAAGTAAATTTGCTATTTTATTTTATAAAATAAATGGATCCAAGCTACAAGAAAGAAGATTCCACCTAAACATTAGGAAGAACTTCCTGACAGTAAGAGCTGTTCGACAGTGGAATTTGCTGCCAAGGAGTGTGGTGGAGTCTCCTTCTTTGGAGGTCTTTAAGCAGAGGCTTGACAACCATATGTCAGGAGTGCTCTGATGGTGTTTCCTGCTTGGCAGGGGGTTGGACTCGATGGCCCTTGTGGTCTCTTCCAACTCTATGATTCTATGATTTTTCTTTAAAAAACTTTACACACACACAGAGAGAGAGAGAGAGAGAGAGAGAGCGCGAGAGAGCGAGCAGGGCTCATTGCAAACCAGGAGGAATAGGCTGAAGCTGGAAGGAAACCTTGCCAGGAGTGCTTACTTTGAACAGGGGGGCTCTCTCCTCCTCCCACTCTGGACCCCTCAGTTCCTGGAATCTCCACGGCCTCCTGCGGCTTCTCTTCCTCTGGTGGGTGCCCAGAAAGGTCCTTTTCGTTTGGGATCAAGGTAGGACTCCCAACCCTTTCAGGCCTGCAGAACGGCTTCTCCTTGTTCTTCTTCACCATGGCCTTCACCATGGAGAGCAGTTTCTCAGCCTGCGTCTCCCTCTCGTTTTGGTTGCGGTTGTCGACTGAGAACCACTGGAAATTGCAGTGACCAATCATGTTCTGAAGGCGTTGGTATTCTGGGCTGGAGAGATGTTCCTCCAAAGCTGCGCTGTCCAGTTTTTCCCCAGTGAGTACAACAATCGTGTACTTCATGGCTTCACAGCCAAATATCTCCTGAACCCATTCTACTGCCTTATAGTCTGCATCGCCACAGTGGTGGGTGACCAGCAACAAAGCGTGCGGTCCCGGTCTGGATAGACGGAGGCAGTGCTGGGAGTCAGGGGAATCCTTGGCTGTGCCATTCCCCAGGTCAAAATCAGCAGGCGTGTCAATGAGGACTAGCCGCTTTTCCTCCCATTCCCTGATTCCTAACTGGCAGGATCTTGTCACGGTGCCAACCTCAAATGCCTCCTGCCCGAGAATGGTGTTTCCTGTGGCACTTTTTCCTGCTCCTGGTTTCCCCACGAGGACAATCCGCACTTCATTGCTCTCTGTCGGAATCTGGTTCTCAGGATTTGGTGCTGTTGAGGAAAGTTCAGGTATTAGAGGGTGCAACGAAGGTTGTGTAGGAAACCAGCGCATTTCATTGATTTTGGGGGGTTTGCACGGGGTGTTTTGCCTGTAGTTTTGAAGGAGGGGCCCTAGGCTGGGGACCCCCTAATTATGTCTTGTAAGCAGAGATGGAAGGAGTCCATCTGTTTTACAAAAAATAAATACCGTACTTTTTGCACCATAGGATGCACGGACAATAGGACGCACCTTGTTTTAGAGGGGGAGAACAAGAAAAAAAATTCTCCCCCTCTCTGCCCAGTGCCCCTTCAGCGAAGCGGCAGGAGGCGCTGCGCAGAGAGGGGGAGAATTTCCCCCTCTTGTTTTCCCCCTCTAAAACAAGGTGCTGTTTAAGGTGCGTTCAGTCGCCTTCAGGTGGCTACTTGGAAGCCTGGAGAGCGAGAGGGGTCAGTGCGCACCGACCCCTCTCGCTCTCCAGGCTTCAGGTTCCTTTCGACCTGCTCTTTGGGGCTGGCGGGCGGAAGCCCACCACCAGCCCCAAAGAGCAGGTTGGGGAGCAGCGGAAAGCTTCTATGGCTTCTTTAGCCCCCGCGCCGCTCTCCTGGCTGGAGAGGTGACGCGCGGCTAAAGAGGCTCCTGCCATAGCCGCGCGTCACCTCTCCAGCCAGGAGAGGGTCACAGGGCTATGGCGTCTTCGCTCCATAGGACGCACACACATTTCCCCTTCATTTTTGAAGGGGAAAAAGTGCATCCTATAGAGCGAAAAATACGGTAAATGCATAGCTGAGAGGTGATGTGATGAGTATATCCTGGGCTGGCCTGTTGAAACTAGGGGTCTAAATGTGTGGGCGGTGTTAATAGGAACATTGGACTAGAGCAGCGGCTCTCAACCTGTGGGTCCCCAGATGTTGTTGGACTACAACTCCCATCATCCCTGAGCTCTGGCCTTGCTAGCTAGGGGTGATGGGAGTTCAACAACATCTGGGGACCCACAGGTTGAGAAAGGCTGGACTAGAGGATCTTTGGGGGAACCTTCCATGGTTCTGTGATTCTGTAAGGCAGTTCATGCGCTCCAAATCTGTTCCCACAAAAGATGCACAACTGGAATGACGGATGTCTCTAACCCTCTGCAGTGATTTATCCGAAGCTTAGAAACTTCATTATGTCGCTTCCCTTGACCGGAGTCACACTCAGGGAAAAGTTGCTGGCTGTGTGTATTCGAGATCTGTCTCGTTTCTGCCTTAGTTTCTCATCAGTGCTAGATGAGATTGGCACAGAGACCATTCCAGCCTTTGCTCTGCTCCTTCCCTTGCAGCCTGTCTGTGACCTGAAAAAAGTGCTTTAGCTGACCCCAGGAAGATCACTAGCCTCGTCCTGCTGATGACCTACGGGACCGCCTCTCCTGGTATGCCCCATGGAGGACCTTACAGTCTTCAAATAAAAACATCTTGGAGGTCCCAGGCCACAGGGAGGTTAGGCTGACCTCAACCAGAGCCAGGGCTTTTTCGGCCGTGGCCCCGATCTGGTGGAACGCTCTGTCACAAGAGACTAGGGCCCTGCGGGACTTGACATCTTTCCGCAGGGCCTGCAAGACAGAGCTGTTCCACCAGGCCTTTGGCCAAGGCACAGTCTGACCCCCTCCTTCTGTAATCCTTATAAAACTCTAGCCCAATGGTTGCCATTAATTTGATTCTGAATTGATTAGAATGTATTTCAATTAATTGACTATGATTTTATGTACACTGTGCTATTTTTACTGTTGTTAGCCACTCTGAGCCTGGCTTTGGCTGGGGAGGGCGGGATATAAGTAACATTATTTTATTATTTATTATTATTATTATGAGAATTCTCTATCTAATGCCAATAGACCAGTGGCTCCCAAACTTTTTCCGGCCATCGCCTCCTTGGGGGCCACAGACTCACTCCCAGTGCTCCCTACTCTACCCTATCAAAAGCATTATTCAGAATAGCGGTTTGCGTGGCACACATTGGGAAGATAATAACACAACGAAATTCAAAACGGTAATAATCAATTGCACATTTGCACATAATCCAATTAAAACTATTCAATTAATTCGACGAAACGGATGAACTTGATCCAGCAATTCCAACTTTTCAGAGTCCGATAGTCATTTGCTCTTCTAGCGCCCGGCTGCTGCCCCCTGCCTCGTAGAGACCCCTCCCTAGGGAAACCCACACTTTGCATATGACCTTCGGGGGCTCTTGAGGAGACTCCTGAGGAAAAACTTACCAGTACTAAACCAGCTCCCAATGGAAGGGAAGAATCGTGTAACCCTAGAAGTAGAGAGGAGAAGAAAGAATGAGGAGGGGGCCTTGCCTTTCACCCAGCAAGAAGTTCGACCATTTAACGTTTCACCGGGGAAACAAGCAATTGTGTACAGAACCAGTTTGTGGGCAAAGTATATCCTTCTGTATCTTATAGGGAAATGTCATGTCATGTTACATTTCACAATCCTCTTACAATATTCATCCAAAGAGGTTGTGGTATATTTAGCAATTCCCAACATGGTTTCTTCCTGTGATGCCTCTTAATCTCTGGGTTGTGGGTTCGAGCCCCACATTGGAGAAAAGATTCCTGCATTGCAGGGGGCTGGACTAGATGACCCTCAGGGTCCCTTCCAACTCTACCATTCTATGTTATTTCTGAAGGGCTTCGGGCTTGAGAGGGCTCTTGGGTTTGGATCCTGCGTGGGGGCTTCACTTTGGGGCACCCAGCTGGCACTGTGAGAATAGAATGTGGGACTAGCTGTGCCCCTGGCCTGATCCTGAAGGCTCTTCTGACGTTCTTAAGGCTGCAGGATGGCCCCCTTGCCATGCCCTTTTACACCTATAACAGCCTTTGGCCACCCTCCTCTTGGTTCTGCAAACCCACCCCCAGTGCCCTCTGCCCTCCCCCCTGCTTTCCCCCTCTTTCTCTTAGTGACCCCTAAATAACCCCCCTGGGGTGCTGCCACTCACTTTGGGAACTACTGATCTACAAAAAGGCTCTGGAAGAGAGGTTTGGAGTTCAGTGTCTCCAGCCTAGAAGAACCAGGCACACACCCCGATCCCCTTGGAGGAAGTGTGGGATTGAAAGTCAAGGACAAAAGCAAAACATGTGCTGCAGCATTTTGTTGCAGCTCCCCTCTTGTTTTGCTCACTTGCTTCGCAGCAGAATACCAAACTGGCCTTGGATCTGGAGGAGGAGGCCAGCAGGGAACAGAAGGCTGCTGGGGCTTCAAAGCACTCAGTCCGGCTCCAGAAGGGCAAGTCTGCTCATTGTAATTCCACCTGTATATTTTTAGTTATTTTAGTCGGGTATTTTCAGTGTCCCCTGAACAAATCCACCCTCCCATAGCAAAGTTTATGAAAAGGAGTTAAACACCTTCTTACCATTTGGCCATCTCTGCTAAGGGAATCCAGCTGGCTTTTCTCTTTCTCCGGTGTCTCTCTGTGCTGTGAACTCTGCGGAGATAAATGCTTTCTAGTTTCACTTTCAAGAGCAGCCTTGACTCTAGTTCCCTCCCTGTCATTGCACGGCACTGCACAGATCTGGGCACACGGCTGCTGTAATCCAGCCACCCAGTTGAAGGCCATCCCAGATTCTCTGTTGTTCTGAAAACCAAGAACGGCCCAGGACAAGCTGGAAGCTGGCTCTGTTCTCCCCAGCAGTTTGGGTGCCCTTGGACCCAAAAGCGCAGGGTTCGCTGGCTAGGAGATTTATTTATTTTTTAAGTAATTGCTTTGGTGCATCCCAGGTCCCTCTGCGTCTGAGCTGAAAGCAGCAACCCCCGGAGAACAAGACCCATGGGCAGCACTGCAGGGCTGTTGTTTTGCAGCTGGGCAAGGAAGGGGGTGGGAAATCCTCTCTCAGCCCCCCCTCTATCACTCATGCAAAATCATGTTGCAAGTCCGCTACCTGCTTTCCACCTCTAGAGGTGCAAACCTTTCCAGAAATCACGCCCAGCCTATTCACCATGCAGGGGAGCATTCGGTATTTGGGGCAGCGTGATTCAAAGACTATTAACTGAAATATTGTTTTGTGCATCTCCGTCTATGAGAGGGGATGTGTGTGTGGTTTGTTGGTTTGTTCGTTTGGGGAGGAGGGAAAGCGAAAGTGATCTGCCATGGGCCATTTCTGAGAATTCACATGGTTAGAAAGAACACCCTGCCTAGGTCCAGAAGTCAACAGATAGGGAGGGTGTGTTGTTTTTCTTCCTGGCCATTTCCTTCTTTCATTTGAGTGACCTTTCAATGCAAAACAGTATACTAATCTCTCTGCCCTTTGCAAAACAGCTCAGGAAAGATTTCCACGTTTTATGTTTTGTTTATGCTGTACAGAAAGGGGTGCAGGGGGGCTGGCCGCACCGGGCGCAACATCGGGGGGGGGGCGCTCGCACTCGAGTGCTAAAATCCACGGGTTAGGGGGCGCAAATTACTTGCCTTGCCCCGGGTGCTGACAACCCACGCTATGCCACTGATGCTGTAAGAACGTATGAAGAGCCCTGTGGGATCAGGCTAGTGGCCCATCTAGTCATAGAATCAAAGAACAAGAGTCGGAAGGGACCCCCCAGGATCATCCAGTCCAACCCCCCACAATGCAGTTGTCCCACACAGGGATTGAACCTGCAACCTTGGCGTTTTCAGCACCTAGCTCTAACCAACAGAGCTCTCCAGTCCAGCCTCCTGTTCTCACAGTGACCAGCCAGATGCCCCCAAGGGAAGCCTGTAAGCAGGAGCTGAGCTCAAGAACAACTCCCCCCCCTGCAGTTTCCAGCAACTGAAATTCAGAAGCATCACTGCCTCCGACTGTGGCTAACTCCAGCTGTGCACAAACATTATTTCACATGCATGTAACTTCAGTGACTCATATGTGCTGTGAAGGCAACAAATGTGTGTTTGTAAACGTATCTGGCATACAGGTATATTCATCAGGGTGGCATTGATGAGGATGAGGATGAAATACTTAATAAAAATAAGAAAAAACCCAATAATCCCCCTTGCACAACACATATAAAAGCACTTTGGATATCAATCCACCAAAGGCCTTGTTGGAGAGGAGCGTTTTTGCCTGGCACCTAAAGATGCATAATGAAGGTGCCAGACGAGCCTCCCTGGGGAGAGCATTCCCCAAATGGGGAGCCACTGCAGAATAGGCCCTGTCCTCATGTTGCCACCCTCTGGACCCCTTGAGGAGGAGGCACACGAAGAAGGATCTCTCGCATACAGGTGGGGTTGACCACAGATCCTTTTCCAGGACACTCTCAGTGGCGAAATTGAGTCTGCACAACCAGCACAAACGCCCAGAGAAAGGTGGGGGAGAAGCTTCTGCAGGTAGCAGTTGGGCAGCAGGACCCGGTTGAGGTTTTTCAAGTCAGTGCAAGTTCTCAACTCCTCTGTGTTTCTTTGCTTTGCAAACGGCATGGGTGTCCCCACAAGCAGTGGAAGGGGGGATGAGCCCTTCTGGAGATTTTTGTCCAGTTCTTCTCATGGAGCAACCAGCCCACGTTCCTAGAACGGAGAGAGCTTGCGCTTTGGGATCTGCAGCCTGGGAATCAGCTCTATTGCACAGTATGTTTCCAAGCACAATTCAAAGTGTTGGTGTTGAACTTTAAAGCCCTAAATGGCCTCAGCCCAGTATAGGAGCGTCTCCACCCCCATCATTCTGCCCGGACACTGAGGTCCAGAACTGAGGGCCTTCTGGCAGTTCCCTCCCTGCGAGAAGCAAAGCTACAGGGAGCCAGGCAGAGGGCCTTCTCAGTGGTGGCGCCCGCCCTGTGGAACACCCTCCCATCAGATGTCAAAGAGATAAACAACTACCTGACATTTAGAAGACATCTGAAGGCAGCCCTGTTCAGGGAAGTTTTTAATGTGTGACATTTTAATGTATTTTTAATCTTTATTGGAAGCCGCCCAGAGTGGCTGGGGAAATCCAGCCAGATGGGCGGGGTACAAATAAATAAATAATAATAATAATAATTGGTGATGCAGGAGTGAGGAGTTTATTTGCCTCCTTTTTACAGTACACACAGAATGCTAGAATCCTAGAATGGCAGAGTCGGAAGGGACACCCCCAAAGGTCATCTAGCCCAACCCCCTGCAATGCAAGAATCTCATCTAAAGCATCCATGACAGGTGACCATCCAACCTCTGCTTATAAATCTCCAAGGCAGGAAAGTCCACCACCTCCTGAGGGAGACCATTCCCCTGCCAAACTGCTTTTACCATCTGAAAGTTCTTCCTGATGTTTAGCCAGGATCTCCTTTCTTGTAACATGATGCCATTGGTGCGAGTCCTACCCTCTGGGGAAGGAGAATACAAGCTTGGTGCATCTTCCATGTGACAGCCCTTGAGATACTTGAAGATGGTTCTCATATCTCCTCTCAGTCTCCTCTTTTCCAGGCTCAACGTGCCCAGCTCCTTCAACCGTTCCTCATCAGGCTTGGTTTCCAGACCCTTTACCATCTTGGTCGCCCTCCTCTGCACACCTTCTAGTTTGTCAACATCCTTCTTAAACTATGGCGCCCAGGACTGGACACAGTATTCCAGCTGTGGTCTGGCATCTGGAAAGGAATGGCATCCCAGTAGCAACTGGCTTTCTTCTGTTGTGAGGAGACGGTCAATCAGTTCCTTCCTTAGCAGACCGCAAGCTTCACCTGAGCCCACAGTGTGATGCAGCAGCAAAAAAGGCTAATGCTATTCCAGGCTGCCTCCACTGGTCTAGTGTCCCGATCAAGGGCAGTAATGAGTCTCTGGCACATGGTCTGACTCTGTATAAGGCTGCCTCCTATGCCTCTGAATACCCCAAGTGTGGGGAAAGCCATTGAGCTGACGTCTTGTTTGTGAGTTTCCTGTCATGGCATCTGGTTTGCAGAGCCATCAGGCTGCTGGACAATGATAGACCCCTTTTGCCCGACCCCTCAGCTGGACTCTTTTGATGCTATCGTGTTCTCCTTTTATGGATGTGCAATTGGATGAATCAACCAGAAGAAAAGACTTTCACTTTCCATATGTCCAACATTCGGCTATTAATGTGCACTCAAAGCCTGCGTCATATTCAGATCTCTCAGAGGAATGAAGAGAGCCAGAGGCTGCCTGAAGTTGCAGAGAGAAACAGCCAGACCAGGAACACCTCCAGGCTGAGAAAACTGCCCAGCAGAAGTCCAGGTAGTGAAAACTATTCTGGTGGAATTAAGCAGAGGTGGGGATCCCTCCTGCAGGAGGAAATGGAGGGTGGGGGGTGGGGTGGGAAAATATTTTGCAAATGCCACAATGCTCCTTCCACACCTGGTTTTGTAGGGGCGGTTGGTGGTTGGAGTCAAAGTCTGCCCTCCTGGGTGATGCTCTAAAAGGAAGGGGAAAGGGGGGGGCACAGTACATGCCAAGGATTCTCCCCTTTCTCTTTTTATATAATTTTTATTAAATTTTCTGTGTTACAATTGAAAATACTCATTTTACATCCTTAAAATAGCAATGACTTCCCTTCTTTTCTTTCCATGGTTCATTTTACATCTCATAAATCCCTGCATATTTTACAAAAATTAAACCATTCAGTATTCCATTATTGCATCCATCCAGACTTACTTACACTGCTGAATTTATCTTAATGCTGCCAGTGTTTTCAGCTGTGCACAATTATTTTCCATATATTCAATAAACATTTTCCAATCTTCTTTAAACACATTTTCTTCTTGTTCTCTTATTCTATATCTTGAGTCTGCAAGCTGTGCATATTCAGTCAACTTCAGTTGCCGTTCTTCTTTGGTTGGGACCTTGCTCGTTTTCTATTTTGGGGCTAACAAAGCACGGGCCGCAGTAGTAACATACATAAATAACCTTTTCTGACACCTGGGAATTTCAGTCTGAATTATCCCAACAGAAAGGACTTGTCCTTTGTTTCCCAGTCTAATAACAGATTATACATTTTAAACAAAAGTTTCTCTTTGTTTTGTAGTTCTTTCTTTGAATTGTGAGCTTTGGTCCAAAAAAAAATTCTTCCTATCTACTTTAAACATTTCATGTGACAGATGGTATTGCAACCAATCCGTAATATGGCTCCTTACATTTTCCATTGATTTCAGTTTAGGTTCTGCCCCTGTAAAATACAGCAATTCCCTGTAAGTCACCCACTGTCTATCCATATTAACTCTCTTAATTGTAATAGCCTTGATAGGAGAGAGCCATAAAGGTGTTTTCCTTTCCAGCAGATTTTTATATTTCTCCCAAACTCTATACAGATACTTCCTAAGGATATGGTCCATAAAACTTTCATAAATTTTCGCCTTCCCATACCAAAGTCATGCATGCCAGCCAAATTGTAAGTCATAAGTCCAGGATGTACAAAACAGATTCACCCCTTTTTGGAGGCGTGTGAAGGAGAGGTCAGGAGGTAAAAGCTTCCACAAACGCCCTACCTCCAAAAAGGCACAGCCACCTGTTAAGTCCTTTCTCCTTCTTCCTGCGAGATGCAATGCCCCCCCCCCCAGATTCCCAGACCATTAAGAAACCTACAAGGAAGGAGATTGCACCACCTTCTGAGGGGGTCTGTTCCACCAAACAGTTCTTGCCTTCAGAAAGTTCCTCCTAAGGCTTAGTCAGAATCTCCTTTTTTGTAAATCAAATCCCCTGGTTCGGGTCCTGCCCTCTGGAGCAACAGAAAACAAGCTTGCTCCCTCTCCGGTGTGACAGTGAAGTACAGGTGTGGGGACTCTGGCTGCAAAGCTGTGAGGTTGTGAGTCCTCTGGCTCTG